CTGTCTGGCACAATCACCCCCAGTTGAGAGTCCCCACTCTAGATTGGTACGGTATTTAATAATACATCGTGTGGTGTCAAATAACCCCTGAGCTAAACCTCAGGAGACCCGTTTTGTGGTCCCGTCTGAGCTTGCAAAGCCAAGCCTAGATTTTATCCAAACCCACGGATGGAGTGGCCTCAAAAAGGGCAAGAGAAAGGCAGAGAAACGAAGACAAGGCACGTGGAGCTTATGCAGCCGTCGCAAGCACAGGTTTCCCGCGTAACCATGACGGTGCGGGAACTGCCAGCCTCTCCCCGTCCAGCCTCGGCGCTGGGGTGTTGGTTTCAGCTGGTGTCTGCAATGACCGCGGGGTGTTTTTGGCAGGAACAGGGATAAAAATGAGCATCTTTCCCATCAGAGCGCTGTCTGATGATGTTGCTGGAGGAGGTGTAAGCGCCTGCTGCGTGTCCGTGGCCGCCACAGGCCACTCTGCGTTGGGTTTTGTGCACCTCCGACAGCGTCATTGGCTCCTCGCCGTGGCGTGATCAGCTCAGGCACAACATGCCCATTTACGAAGGAAGCAGCCGAGACACAGAGAGTGGGTGGCTGGACTGCGGGTGGCTGGGACCCACACCTGGGTCCACACAGGTCCGAAGCCAGGCGCCCCTGTCCACACAGCCACCCACAATGTCCAGGCGCCCTCGTCCGCACAGCTGCCCACCATATCCAGGTGCCCCCGTCCACACAGCCGCCCACCATGTCCAGGTGCCCCCATCCGCACAGCCACCCACAGCGTCCAGGTGCCCCCATCCACACAGCTGCCCACCGTGTCCAGGTGCCCCCATCCACATGGCCACCCACAGCGTCCAGGCAGACGTGGTCCCCTCTGTGCTGCTGTGTGTTCTGCTGATGGGGCAGCTCTTTCGGGAGCCAACAATAATCCCAGACGCCACCACGCACTCCCTTTCTCCTCCAGGTCATAATGCTGAGCTCCGTACCAGACTTACACGGTTACATCGATAAGTCGCAGCTGACCGAGGACCTGGGCGGGACCCTGGACTACTGCCACTCTCGGTGGCTGTGCCAGCGCACGGTGAGCCGCGTCAGGGCCGGTGGGGGCCGGGGCTGGCTGCTACCAGCTCGAGCACCTCCACGGAATTGCTCTCGCGTCACAGCACGGCCTTTTCCAAAAACATGTTCACAGTAACAGTCGTTTTCTTTCCCAAGAATGAGGAGATGGTCTCGGTGGACCTTAGTCATTGTAAAGAAGTAACATGAGTAATAAGTTTGGGAGTGGCTTCCCCGGGCCTGGAAAACAAAAAAAAAAAACTCTTGCGTTGTGCTTTGCAACACTCACTGCTCTCGACAGGGAGAGGCAGCACAGGCACAGGCGACTCTAGGTGGCGGGCACATGTGTAGAGTGGCCTGGTATGTTTCTTAAGAGGTCAAGGAGGGCAGGATGCTGTGGGAGGGTGTCCACTGTCCTCGCGTTAGCTAACCTCGCCTGATGGGTCTGCGCGGGAACGGTTTCCGCCGGTGTCTGCTTTCGGGGCAGCAGGAGGTGGGTGCAGTGCACAAGGCGTGCAATTGTGTTTTCTCTGTCTCCAAGGCCATCGAAAGTTTCGCCCTCATGGTGAAGCAGACGGCTCAGATGCTGCAGTCCTTCGGGACCGAGCTGGCCGAAACAGAGCTGCCCAATGACGTCCAGTCGACGAGCTCAGTGCTGTGTGCCCACACAGAGAAGAAGGACAAGGCGAAGGTATGTGGGGGCGCTCCGGTTGGAAGCTGCAGGGGCTCCGGTCAGAAGCTGCGGGGGGTCTTCCGTCCCCGCGGGAGTTCGTGTTGGCAGCACGTGAAACCAAGAAGTCAGCAGGCTTGAGATGCCTTTTGATGGCGATTAGCTGGGCAACTTCTCCGATGAGGACGGAATAAAAGCAGCATGAATGAACCCTGTAGCGTGCTAGCTGCGGCTGCCATTATGGCGTTGGGTCAACCATTGGCCCTGGGCGGCCGTGGCTTCAGGAGTGGGACCGGGGGCGGCTGTCCTCTCAAGCGCTTTTGGCTGTCTCTGCAGGGAGCTCCCGAATAGACTGCTCTGTTGCTTCTGAGTGTGACCGAGACAGGATGTCTGTGCCGCTTTCTCATGCCGAGCAGGCGATGAAGTGGTGGTTGGAGTTCTGTTCGCAGAAAACTCCCAGTGCTCACGTGTCCACAGCTCTTGCTGAGACAAATGTATTCTGAGGAGCACATGCTCCCTGCTCTTCTGCCCCTGGCTTTGCAGCAACAGTGGCCCAGGGCCATGACCTGCTGGTGTGTCCCTGAGGACTGTGCCTCTGTGCTCACTCGGCCACTCCACCGTGAGGACACTGTGAGGACCAGGAGCAGGCACCATGAGAAAGCCTGATCTCCTGGTCTCTGGGTCTCTTGGTCTCCTGGTCTCCTAGTTACCTGGTCTCCGGGTCTCCTGGTCTCCTGGTTGTCTGGTCTTCTGGTCTCCGGGTCTCCGGGTCTCCTGATCTCCTGGTCTCCTGGTCTCTGGGTCTCCTGGTCTCCTGGTCTCCTGGTCTC